GATGCACAATGCGGCTCACTCAGGCTGTGCAGGCTGCGTCCTTTCTGCCGTCGTTCCCCCCAAACTTCAAGCAACATCTGGGTGGAAGTTTTGTTGGCTCCTGGCTTCAGAAAACTAGTCTAAGAGGTTCTTCAGATAATTTTCCACATTGTTGCACGAAAATAAGAGATGCAGGAAAAGTTTTGGTGCCGCGTAGAGTGTGTCAGGCACCCCTGAGCTGCTGCCACCAACGGTGTCCTCATCTAGTGTCCATCGCCAGCCAAGGTCCTGTGTGGCAGGTGGTCCTCACCCAGCCTCTTCTCGTGGCTCTGTGGGTCTCCCCACTCTCGGTCTGTGACCGAGGGAAATGTACGTGCTGGCTCCAGTGTAAGTAGACCCCAAACCCGGGCCCCTTGTGCTGGCTCTGGGACGGGCAGGTGGCCTGGTTGGGCCGAGCTGGTCAGGCCAGGGCTTGGAGCTATAGGACGTAGCCTCAGGCTGTCCCTGGGGACCCAGCTCCTGGGGACTCCAGTGTTGACCAGGAAGACCCGGGCAGGAATGCCCTCTGTTCAATAAGCAGGAGGTGTCCCCCCAGTCCCAATGGCCCCCCAGAGCCAGCTGAGCACAGCTCTGAGGACCACAGCCCCGCCCCTGCTGCGCACCACTGGGCCTCATAGAGCTGTGGGAGCCCAGGGCCGCGCCGATCTGTTTATCAACACTGTCACTGCAGCACTCCCCACGGTGTGCTCTGTTTTTCGTTCACTATGGAGGCGGCTCTGGAATGTTCTTGAGGAATGCTCCTCTGGCTGGCTACGAGTCTCTTCCCATCAGCCCTAATTCCCCAAGAAGGCCCGGACGGCCAAGAACAGGAAGGACACACACTCAGCTCTGGGAATGGACACTCTGGAAGCCCCACAGAGACACACACGCAACAGGGACCAGCATCTTGGAGGCTTTCTGCTGCCTCGGGTTCACCTTCTGTCCGGGAAGAGCTAGGCACTGTTCTTCTGTTTCCTGGTTTGGTTTTCTTACACTTCCATTGGGTGCCAGAGGTTATTCTAATTATGGTCAAGAAAAAGCTTGTGAAAAATACAGAGCCAAATGCTGCAATACATCCCCAAGCTGTGCCAGCAAGGTTGGCGTCCTTGCCACTGTCCAGTCTGGGCAGGGCCAGGCTGCAGAGAAGGCTGTGATAGAGAGCTCCATGTCTTCTGAGTGTGGGCTACGGAGGAGGAGCTGGGAGGATCCTGAGTGTGGGCTACGGGGAGGAGCTGGGAGGATTCTGAGAGTGGCATATGGGGGAAGATTCTGAGTGTGAACTATGGAGGAGGAGAGTAGATGACTTAATTTGGTGTGTACAGACAGAGTGAGAAATGGGTTATGCTATCGGCACATTTATTGTCTGCGTTTATTTCGGGGTTTTTTAAAAGAGAACAGGCCCTGGCTGGTGTGGCTCAGTGGATTGGGCATGAGCCTGCAAACCAAAGGATCATGGTTTGATTCCCAGTCAGGACACATGCCTGGGTTGCAGGCCAGTTCCCAGCAGGGGACGCATGAGAGGCAACCATACATTGATATTTCTCTCCCTCTCTCCTTCCCTTCCCCTCTAAAGATAAATAGATAAAATCTTTAAAAAAATAAATAAAAAATTAAAAAGAGAAGAACAGTAATAATTCTGTTTGTTTTTGTTCTTTATGTTCGTTTACAGGATACTATTGACTGAGAACGCCTTTCTGTGTGGAGGGCTATTCCATGCATTTGGGTCATTTAGTAGCATCCCTGCCAGCTGCACGCTGGGTATCAACAGGACATTCCCCCGCTCAACACATATGCTCATGATGATCAAAAACGTCTTCAGACACCGTCAAATGTCTCCTGAGTACAGAATCACCCCTGTTGAAAACCACTGCCTTAAAGAAAAGGAAATTTGACTGCTTCCTTATCTAACACAGAAAGTTAACTCCAAGTAGAGTATATATGTCGCCTAAAAGTAATCTGTAAAGCATTTAGAAGATAATATGTAACTAAAGCCTATGGGCCCATTGTGACCTTCTCTTGTTTTTGTTAATAAAACTTTATTGGCACACAGTCACACCAATGAATTTGCTGTTATCTACAGCTTCTTATGTGCTAAGATGGCAGAGTTAAGTAGTGGCTACATACCTACTACCCTCAAAACCTAAAATACTGTCTGGCCTTTTATAGAAAAACTACACTGACCCCTATGATAGAAGAATATTATCATGATCTAGGGTAGAGAAATACTTTTATTTATTTATTTATTTATCTTTAGAGGGGAAGGGAAGGAGAGAAATATCAATGTGTGGTTGCTGCTCATGCGTCCCCTGCTGGGAACTGGCTTGCAACCCAGGCTTGTGCCCTGACTGGAAATTGAACCGCGATCCTCTGATTTGCAGGCCCATGCTCAATCCACTGAGCCACAGCAGCCAGGTGAGAAATATTTCTTAAATAAAACACAAAATGCTCTAACAGTAAAGGGAAAGATTTTAAAATAAAGCCATGGTAAAAGCAACAACTTTAGGGAGTACAAAGTTGGAGGACTGACGCTACCGGCCTTCAGGACTCACTGTAAAGCTTCAGCAGTCAGTGCAGCCCGGTGCTGCCGAAAGAAGACACAAATGGATCCATGGGACAGAATAGAAAGCCCAGAAATAGACACACACAAATGCAGTCAACTGGCCTTTGACGAAGGCGCAAAGGCGATACAATGGAGCAAAAACAGTCTTTTCAACAAATGGAGTTAGAACAACTGGACATCCATCTACAAGCCAAAAACATGAATCTAGACACAGATCTTATACTCTTGACAAAAATTAACTCAAAAGGGATCACAGACCTAAATGTAAAAATAAACAAACAAACATACAAAAAACCCATAAAACTAGAAGATAACATAGAAGAAAATCTAGATGACCTTGGATGTGGCAATGGCTTTTTAGATACATCACAGACATGAGCCGTGAAAAAAAGAACCAATGAGCTGGACTTCACTGAAGTTAAAACTTCTGCTCTGCGGAAGTCCTGTTGGGTGGACGCTGTACCCATCAGCAGCCTTCCTGACACCCCCCACCCCATCAGACTCCAGCCCAGGCGCCCTAGCACCCACTGCCATCTGCAAACAGGAATGAGACAGGGTGAACCCAGCAGGAGACCCACCCCGGGTGGTGTCATCAGAGCTAAGGGTCGAGCATCAAGGCTCAGGCAGAGCCAGGTCAGGGGCCGTGGCAGCGTGGCAAATGCTTTGGCAGAGATGGTCCCCTCCTCCACTGGGAAATGGCACCCAGACCACACGGCAGGCTGGGTGTGGCCAGTGCCGTGTGCCAGGGGTGGAGAAGCTAACCCTGGGGACTGGGGGACGAAGTGTAAGTGCATGTGGGGAGCAGGGGAGGTGGCTTGGGGACTGGGGAACAGGTAGGGCCACGTGCAGTGTGCAGAAGGTGGGGGAGGTGGCCTGGGGACTGGGGAACAGGTAGGGCTACGTGCAGTGTGCAGAAGGTGGGGGAGGTGGCCTGGAAGCCACCTCCAGACTGGAAGTTGAATTGTTCACATTCTTTGTGGCTGGGGCAAGGGATAAAGACATTTTTGTGGGCAAGAGCGAAATTGTTGGCCTTGGAGCTTAATATTTTTTATCAGTCTTGGCTCTAGGTTAGATTAAAAGATTTTGCAGGACAGAGAGACATGGGTTTGGGTGACGCTGGTGCGAACAGTCTGGGGAAACACTGACGCCGAGGCATGTCTCCGACCCCGGGTCATGTGTGGAGGATGAAGGCCGTCCCTGTGTTCTCTGGCACCCAGCTGTCCTCTGGGGTTTGTGGCCCAGGTCCAGCTGGCACAGGCTCTATGCCAGCTCTGCAATCAGCTTCTCTGCTGTTAGCACCCAGGTCTGCATGGACCCTGAACGCGAAGCCCGAGCCCCGCCCACAGGGGGGTGGGCCTCCCCCCCTCCCCGCTGCAGGCCCAGCAGGTGCTCTTTACATGCTCAGGATTCCTGCAGCCAGTCTTTCTCCCCTCCCCTGCCCGGTGCTCGAAGAATAGGCAACCCCCAAACGGGTTCAGCGTCTTGGATTGCAAAGACCTCCTGGCTCAGTTGAACAGTTTGATTCTTAAATTCCGGGCAGCAGAATGTTGCTCTTTGAGGTACTTGCTGTGCGACCCCAGACCCATCGGCCACAGGCTGTTGTTGAAAAAAAATTTTCCTCTTAACAACCAACTGCCATCTTTCCTGTTTAGAAACCCAGAAACCTGTCCTGCAGGGGCCAGGGCCCTGCGGAGCCACTGTCTGTTCAGGTTCTCCTGGAACACGCCAGGGTGCGTGCGTCTGAAGGTAACACAACAGCTAACTGAGGACGGCTCACTGGCCTTTCACTTCCTGGTCTGTAATCAATAGCCTGTCCAAGGTCAGCTGGCCGACTCCGGGTCCTGGCTCGCCCTGTGTTTGCTGTATTCCCGGTGTGTCGCTTCCTTATTTGAATGTGTGTGTTTACCTTCTTTAGGGGAGGCTTTCTGTACGCTCAGAAAATTAAACATGAGATATTTCCATATGGGCTAAGAATATTCTGTCTGTTAGGCAGAATGGCGTTCTCCGCCAGCAGGGGGGAGCAGGAGACCATCTTCTTAAAATGCTCCTTTCCCTCCCTCACCTTCCTCCTCGCCCCTCTCCCCGCCCCCCCTTATCTCTTTTCCCAGTGGTCCAGGACCGTCATTTAGGGACTTTGGCCTGTCACTCAACCAGGATTTCTGATCATTTCCAAGGCTGTGCCCACCCGCTGCCTCAGGCCTGTCTGGCAGCAGGTGGGCACACACTGGGCCCTCGGTCTGTAATGGGCAGAGCTGCACCCCAGACTCTGGCTGAAGGGCCTCAGAAGCCACCCTCTCTAGTGGGGTAAACATACGGGTGCCCTGTACGGAGCACCAGTGGCCTCCAGAACGCTCCACAGATGACAGACGGAAGCCCAGAAGCCTTAAATAGGAAACACGGCCTCGGGTACCAAAACCCTCCCCAGGTGTGATGGCAGATTTGTAAACGACAACACACACACACACACCACGGTCAACACGTGGGCCTCAGAAACAACACTCTGTATTTGAGCCAGAGTGCCTTTCCGTCCGAGCAAGTGAACGCCAGAACACAGCACTGGCGTGGAGACCGTGCCCTTCCTGGGGGCCCACAGAAATATGTAAACATTCAACACATTTCTTTTAAGAACAATGAATATCCCAGGTCATATCCCTTTTACAAAACAGTAATAATAACTAATTAGGAGGGAATAAAAAGTTGTACGGACAAAAAACTTGGTTTTACATAAGCGGTGACAGCTAGAAATTTTAGCTTGGTATCTGGTGTACATGGTGGGCACGGCGACCAAGCAGAGGTGCTGCCTGGGTCTGGGTCACCTGGGGCTCCGTCCTCACCACTAGTCCTGGCCTCTCCTTGTCTGGATGTCCCAGGACGGGCAGGAGGGGACATACTTCAGAAACCTCCTGATGTCTCTAGGAGGTTGGCCACAGAAGCAGGCTTTGCAGAGGCTGCTTTGTTTTTTAACAAATGAGAAAAGAAGTTATTTTTCAATCTACCCATCTGTGTCATGGTGCATAGGGGGGCGGCTTCTCCCCGGGGAGGGAAGGGGCCGGAGCATAGAGAGGCGGGGCGTTGGGCAGGAGCCCGAAGCTGGAGCTGGACTGGGACGGAGGCTGCGTGTCCTCGGACAGAGAGAGGTCAGTGGAGGGCGAGGCTGGGAAGCTGCTGGACGGCTGCAATTGAACAGAAAAGGCTTCCTCAGTCAGCGGGGAGGCCGGCCACACATGCAGTCCACATAGAGTACCCCTCAGAGAGCCCACCTGGGCTCAGGCTCCCCCAACCCAGGGTCACCCGCCTAACCAAGGGGTGCCCTTCTTGTGGGGACACTACATGACCAAAGTGTGCTCTCAGGGAGGCCAGAGGGAGGGCCCAGCTGGGGCCTCCTTTGCACAAACCCTGCTCCCTAAGGCACCTGCGGAAACACCCAGCTGTGGAATCCTCAGACTTCCCAGGCCTCTTGCCTGCTCTGTGTGAATCTGGACTTCTCAGGGGGTGGTCTTGTACCAGGCTGACATCAGGACACGCAGAAGTGCAAACACGTCCGAGAATAAGGCTGCCCGGCTCATTAGGGGACTGCAGGGTTCAACCAGCACTTCGTACTTTAAGGGAAAAACCAAGAGCTCAGCATTTTTCTCCCGGTGTGATGGTTGATTTTCTGTGTCCTCTTGGCCAGCTTCGGTGCCCAGATGTTTGGTCCAACACCAGCCTGGACGTTGCTGTGAAGGTGTTTTGTAGACGTGATCAACATCGAAATCTGTAAGCTTCGAGTAAAGCAGACCACTCTCCGTGATGTCGGTGAGCCTCATCCCAGCAGTACTGAAGGCCTTAAGAGAACCAGACTGGGGTTTCTGGGGAAGAGGGGGTTTTCCCAGCAGACTGACCTTGGACTCAAAACTGCAAGATCCATTCTTCCCTGGGCCTCCTGCCCTGCAGGTCTTGGACACCTTCGCTCCATGCCTGTCTCCCCCTTTCCATACGTGTCTGACTGGGTCTGGGGCGGGGTCTCTACATGTGCTGCATCCACCCACTGGTTCTGTTTCTCTCCAGAACCCCGACACAGACTCAAGTAAAAGTGAGTCTCAGGAGAACAATGTTTTTCCACGTTTTCTCCCCTTGCTGACAAACCTCTTAATTTTTTTCTTTTTTTTTTTTTGAGTTCTAAGAGTTGAAAACACCTACTTAAAATCAATATTTAAATAAATAAAGTAAACAGTGCCTTCTGTGGACGTACAGGGCGCGTGTATGAGGCTCCCAGTGCGGGGCAGCCTTCACTCTCTGCCTGCCAGGCCCCCGTGTCCCCGGGAGACCAGCCTGTCCGCCTCGCCTCTTCCTGGAGCCTTGCCCACCGAGGAGGCCCAGCAGCCCCAGCACCTCGGGATTCTAAAACAAGGATTCCCTTACAAGCTGTACCTGAAGCCAAGAATGTCACTTTCCTCAAGGTCAACAGCTTGGGCTTTCCGGATCTGACAGCCCGAAGCCCCTGCCCAGCTCTTTCTCTCTTTCTTTCTCTCAAATTCACGCTTCCTTTGACCACAGGGACAAAGCAAACCTCTAGAGAACGTTCTCTCGGATCTGCTGGAAGCTTCCAGATTCTACCATGCAAGTGTCCACTCAGTTCTTCATTAGAAATGAGCACCTAAGCGAACCACAGCATCAACCACCCCAGACCACGGAATCACCCACCGAGAACCAGGGGGCAAAGTAGAAGGAACCATGAAGGAAACTGGCCCAAATCACAGAGTAAACTGCCAGGAGCCACTGAGTAAACCACCACAAACCACAGAATAAACCACCACGAACCAGGGAGTAAAACACCAGAAACTATAAACTGCCCCGACAGACAGGGCTGTCCAAGGGACAGTCTCTGCCTACACAGGAGCCCCCACCAGGGGAGTGGACAAGAATTCCCATAATTACAGGCTGTGAACTAAACCTCTGCTTGTGTCCTCGTTCACCAAAACTCATCGACGCCAGTCCCTCCCCTGACTTTCCCAACCAGGCGACTGCTAGGGGCAGAGGAGGCGGGCTCTCTTCAAAAACCTTTACTTCGGCCAACCGCTCAAAACAGCCCCTGACCGAGCTGTCTCACTTCCTGCGACTATGTGAGTTTGCTAGCTTGCTGCTAATAACTCCAACAGGACATTTAAGTACTTCCCTTCCTTCTCTGTTCGTCAGCAGAAACAGAAGCATCATTTCTGTTGTTTTTCTCCTAAGGAAACACAGGAACCTCATTGATTTGTCCTCTCCTCCAAATTTGATTATTGATGTAGATGCAATTATACCCCTGCTTGTGCTGGTGATAATAGCCAGTTAGGCCATTGAGAGGGGAGCCCAGGCCCCCCTGGGGAGGCGGAAAGAGGGGGCATGGGCTGCTCGTGAAGAGCCAGAGGCCCCCGAAGGACGGAATATGACACTGGAATGAAGTCGATCCGTTGCCCAGCAGCGAGTTGCAGAGATGGAAGACCATCCACCCACTTCCTGCACTCCTACAAGGAGCGCAACCCCCCGGGGGCACACGTCACACCTGCAGGAGCAGGACGCCCGCGCAGCGCCCCGCAGCCAGGCTCCAGACTGACCGGAGCCCCGGCTGTGGCCCGCCTACCAGGACGGTCCACCTGGTGCTGGGCCCTCCACCCACAGGTGGAGATGCACTGCAACTGCACAGCAGGCCATCAGGGCCTGAGCCCCGCAGCCCGTCTGCCCACAGCGCCCCTCTCGCCCGAGCACGGAAACGCAGTTCCTCCTGCGTTTGAATACTGTGGGCTTCCTAGAACTTGATGGTGGTTGGTCTTTTAATAAGATAGGCAAGAGGATGTGTGCTAAGTCCTTCGGGTTGCCCCACCCCAAAATGGAAGCCGAACTGAGCTGTGGTTCTCATCGTTGCCCCCCTGAGGGCCCTGGGCAATATCTGGATATGTTTTTGGTTGTCTCCACAGGGGCAGTACCAGAGGCTGGGGACACTGCTCAACACCCCACAGCGCCCAGGGCAGCCCCACCCCTCTGAGCTGTCTGGCCCCAGTGGGGCCAGGGTCAGGTCCCCTGCTCTGGAGTCCATAAGGTGACCAATTATCAGGGTCTATTTCAACCGGATACTTCCTAGAATATAAAGGAATATAAAGAAGGAAAAGCCGAAACCACAATGGAAGGAAAAAGCAAACGCCGCCCTACAAATAAGGTTGCGCTCCCACCAGGCATTGCTCTTCCCACAACCCCAAGGCCAACAGCGGTTTTGCGGGGTGAATCTATGAAATCACCACTTCTGTGGGAACAGTGTGGTTGGATGTTAGCAAATTCACGTGGCTCCACCTGAATGACTTTGCTATGTTGCCGGGACCCAGGCACATGGTGTTTGTTATGTCCCCAGTCGCTCTGACCAGGAAACTTCGTGGGACCTTCGTGGAACCTTCGTGGGACCAGGTCGTGGATTAGAAAAGGTCAGAGCCCCGAAAGACAGCAACGAGTGGGTCATCAGGGCCACACGGAGCAAAGAGTGTCCAAACTGTCAAAGGGGCTGTGGAATATCTGTGTGCAGGCTCTGTGTGTGGATTTCCAGCCATGTCACCCTTCAGATTGTCCCCCTTTCCAGTCCACGCACGCTCCGCCACCGAATTACCTACATCGGGACAGGCGAAGCCCTAGGTCTTCCCTCAACCCAAGCCCGGTCTGAGTCCCGTCTGACCAGCACTGTCCTGCGTGGCTGCTGCCCATAGTATGAGCACAGCAGCTTCAGGCAGGTGACGCCGGGCCTACCTGGAGAGGCAGAGGGTAGGACGAGCAGGTGGGGAGGGTCACAGGTGCTGGGCAGAAGCCCGAGTAGGCCAGGATCTGCTGGGCAGGGTTGTAGAGCATCTGCGGAGGAGCAGACGGTCTGTAGGCCAGCTGGGACAGAGGGACCTGCCGCAGAGAGTGGAGATGCGTCAGCCGGCCCTCCCAGAGCCTGGGCACCTTCAGCCCCAAGCGGCCCTCCAGGGAGCCCCGTCCTCAAGTCAACAAGAAGGTGAGAGCCTATCAATCAGCCAGAGGGAGATGCTATGAGTTCTCAGATCAATAGCTCTCAAATCAGAGCTAAGCACCAAAAAAGCAGAGCTTATTTTTGCTTTTTAAAAAATTTGTCCCAGGGACCCACCGAAATTCCAGGCTAGGCCCGGGCTCTCATTGGTGCTCTTTTGGTAAAGCAAGAAAGCTGCTGGTCCCTCTTCTCCAGGTGCAGGCAGTGTCAGGGGCACCTCTCAGCTCGGCTCCACCCCAGGGTGCAGACTGGCTTCCCAGAGACTCGCAGGCACGGTGGTGCTGGGCTTGCTTCCCACAGGTGCCACCCCAGGTGATCACAGCCCAGGGATTTCTGCAGAGATGCAAGTATTCCCAAGGCATCCCAGATGCCTCAGGGCTCAGGCCTTGTTAGCTTGCTGGGAGGCTCTAGTCCTCAGAAGGACAACAGGACAAGGGCCCTGATTCTTAGCTGTCCACCTGCACCCAAGAGAAGATGGGCCATAGGACAGACCCCTCCCCAGAAGGAAGGCAGTCACTCAGGTGGGGTGTTCAAGGGGTTCACAGACCAGACGTGTGTCCCTCCCTAAGAAAACAGAACCTGGATCCCACCTGACACCCATGGGGCAGGCGCTGCCGTGTCGGAGAGGGGCCAGGACGGCAGAAGTATGTTATCCGAAAACTCCTCACCACCCCCCGAAGGTCCTGAGCAGTGGGGGTGGAGAGAGGAGGGAAGGCCGGAGCTTGGAACCAGGCCACAAACCTCAGGGCGGCACCAACCAGACAGGAAGCACGTGGGCCAAGAGGAGACAGTCGTGGGAGACGAGAACTCACTCAGAGCTGCCTGTTCCCAGCTCCCCACCGGGAGTCGAGGGGGGACTTTGGGGTCAGGGCAGGGGCAGTCCCTTTGCTAACTCACCTCTCGCCTCCTGCCCTCCCCAACCCAGGACCGCCTTCTGCACAGCCCACACTCACGCCTCCCTTCCACCAGCCCCGAGGAATGCAGGCACCCCCCGAGAAGGAGAATGGATTACACAATAACATCCATTCTTTCCCCCGCCAGGCCCAGCACCGGGGTCCTTCTAGCAGGAACTCCGCACAGAGGTCCTGCACCTGCCCGGTCTTAACTGAGGTAATGAGAGATGGGTAACTCTGAGGTGTGAACAGGGAAACCCGAAAACAGGGAGAGAGAGAGAACTGAAAACTCGGGGCAAAGCCTGCATGCCTGGCCACCTTGATGCCATATTCATGAACAGACACTGCTGAGTGCGAACTGTATGCACTAGGCTGCCCTAAGTGCTGTCCTGGCACAGCGGGAGCTGGGCCTCACAAAGGGCCAGAGGAAGCAGCTGCAGCCAGAGGCCTGGGGGCTTGGGCTGAGCATGGGTGATGGAAGTTGAAGGTCAAGGTTCACAAATGACCTCATGGGCCAAAGAGGGACTCACCTGGACTTGCTCAGCATTTGTGCCATTTGGGGTTTAGGAAAGGATGGCCTGGGGGTGGTGCAGGGGGGTGTCCCATGAGGGAGCTAAACATTTTGGCATGGACAGAGAAGTGACAGGGAAGTGACAGAGAAGGACGGTCACTCTGTCTTTGGGGGACACCGGGAGGCCCAGCCCTACCTTGGCCCCAGCTCCGTGCATCTGCCTGGTCTTGCTCTGACCACTCACCTACCTTTCTGACCCCCGAGTCCCACTGTGCGGGTGACCTGGAGGAGGCCCCAGCTGGGCCAACAGGACTGTCCGCCTGCATTTCTCAATGCGCCTGAGACCCAGGGCAGACCCCTCCTCCCCAGACTGGATTTAAATGACTGGGTATATAGGTGCTGCCATGTCACCAAGGCACCAGCCTCAGGGGACCCTCTGCAGACCCAGGGGACTCCTCACGCTGGACAGAAGAAATGACTCTGGCCCCCAGCTTGTGACAAGCACTTGGTGACCTTCATCTGAAGCCCTCATAGGCCGAGGGGGCACACACAGCTGCTGGCTGATGAACAAAGGGCCTTTGTCCTTTAAAGGAATTAAAAATTACAAAATCCATTGAACTTCTAAGAGTATCTATTCAGTAGGTGTAAAATGTTAAGGAATCACCCTTTGTGCTTTGGGTTTGAGAAAGAAAATTGTCCAGAGCAGAGTTTAGACACAACGCTGTGGTCTGCTGAGACCAGCGCCCCCCCCCCCCCCGGCATCGCTGTATTCCCGACAGAACACTTCGGCAATTGCATTGTAAACCCTATGAACACAGGGCCCCTCCCGAGAAAACCACCAGGCTGACCGCTGTCCCAGCAAACTTCACCCAGGCTTGCGGGGACAGTGAACTCTAACCAGACACACTGGGGACCCAACTCTCAATCTAACCTTGCTCTTCTAGAAAAGCTACCAAGAAAGAAACCCCTGAACTAGCTGCAGTCGAAAAACCCCTATACTAAGGGTTTTCACAGAAGGCACCTGTGGGACCCTCTGTAGGGCCCGGGTGCCCCGGGAGAGCTGCAACACCCACTGGAGACCTTCCTGAAGGCAAGGCAACCGACCACTTTCCTCCTTGGAGGATGGTTGTCTTTTGTGAGTTTAAAGACATCTTCTGACCCAGTCAGAGCTTAGAGAGGTCGTCTGCACCCTCCAGGGCGGCGGCCAGGAGAAAGTCTTGGTTCTGGGGGACACCAGGGTTTCCCATGCTCTGTCGGGTTTTATTTAGAGGAACAGATCCTTCAGGGAAATCACAGGGGTCTTGCACCAGAATCAGCCAGGAGTTTGGGAGAATGCAGTCCCCAGCACCCCCGCCCCCCGGAGCTACTCAATTAAAAGCTCCAGTGATTCCATGTGCAGGTGGGATGAGAGGTGGTGGAGACAGGCACATCGAAGTGTCAAGGTCAGGCTCTCCCTCCCTGCAGCTGAACTTCCATTTCCTAAGTGGGATCCTATAGCACAAGCCTCAGAGAGCGGAGGATAGTGCTGGAATAGACTCTGCTCCCAGACGTGACCGTGAAGTCTTGCCATCAGTAAAACGTATGGTAGGTGGTTTTCATGAGCCTCAGTTTCCCCGTTTGGGAGAAAGGATAACCAGACCACCTTGCATGCCTCCAAGGACATGGGCCCAAAGCCCTGGTCTGTCCGGAGCGCTGTCGCCACCCAGCCCCGGGGGGCACTACTCACCATGTCCTTGAAGGCCCCCAGGACCGCTGCTGTGACGATGCCCAGGAACAGGCCCAGGACATTGAGCACGGTCGAGGCCCAGAGCAGCCGGTAGAGGTGGAGCACGTCCTGACAGCTGCTTACACCCATGAACTCGTAGTAGGTGGGAGAGTACTCGGTGCTGCACACGGGGAGAAGACATGGTGTCACCCACGCCTGCGATCAGGAAGGACCTTGCCACGTGACTGAGCAGGGCTGGGAGGACACAGCGCTGGGACAAGACAAGCTGTGGGTCTTTGTTCGCTAAGGCCCCAAGGGCCCCCTGTTGGTCACGCTGGGAGAGGCATCGCCTGGCTGTGCCCTGAGGCCGAGGCAGCAAGGCTGCCCCCAAGGAATCTGGGCATCCATCCAGGGGAGGAGCCCAGGGCTCTGAGCAGAGACGGCAGCACCAGCACTGGACACACTCCCCAAACCCTGGCCCCGCACAGGGCAACTGGGCCCTGGGTAGGTCGGCCTCCAGCAGGCAGCTGCGGTCCCCCCACCGAGCCATGCTGGCAGAGGGGCTTGTCCTGGCCCTCACAGCAGGGGCCTGCAATGGTCTGTCCTGGGAGGGCTCTGGACCACAGCCTCCTGGCCGTGGGCTGTTGGGCTGGCCTGGAAGCCTCTTCTTGGGGAACAGGGTGCAGCTTAACCCCCTGGAATTTTCAACAGTTCAGAAGAGAGGTCCCCCAGGAGCAAACATTAAAACTTCCCACCGGCTTTAAGGTGAGCATTCAGGCTATTAACATAAACATAAGACAATTCAGGAAGGTTTCAGGTTCGGCTTGGACCATGCACTCAGTCCTAACAAGTAAAAAGCCAATTCAGACTGAAAAATCAATGACTCTTATTAGATCACAAGAGGGGAGGATGCAGGACAAATTGCTGCTCCTCAGATCGGAGAGACGGATGGGTGGATACAGGGAGCCCGGCTTCCGGGAGCACAGACTCAGCAGCGAAACGTTGGGGGGCCCAGGGGCGGGCAGAAAACGGACCTGTAATGGATGACCCGCTGTGCGTAAGCCTGAGCGTTAAAACCTGTCCCATGACTGGGTCCCCATGACTGGGTCCCCATGACTGAGATTCACCTGCTGGAGCTCGTTCAGGTTCCCACAGTAGGTATCAGAGAAAAAAATGCCCTCGGGCTTCCAGCAGAGGGAGGGCAAGGATTCCGGAGTATTTGTTCTTAACAAGGCCTGTGCTCAGAAGCAGGCTAACCAGGACCTAACCGGTCAGAGTATGATCAAGGGAAATACCCAGCTCCGGCCTCGCCGGGCCACCTGTCCCAGCTAAGGGGCGAGAAAAAACTGACAGCTGCTGGCGAAGCTCACAGCCCAGAGGCACAGGCTCACCGACAGACATGCCACGGGGCTTACAGAACGCTTCCCCGCCCCCTCCCTCACCCCATCACCGAGCCCGGTTCTCTCGTCTGTGGAAGGGAGCTAGCGCCCATCCCTCACCTGAGTGCCTGAACACTAAGGAGATGGTGGAGGCAGGTGCAGTGTCCAAGGACAGGGGAGCGCAGAGGAGGCAGAGGAGGGAGGGATGGGACGAGGGGCTGCCAGCAGCATGGGGGTGCTGTCCGCTGCCCCACTTCCCACTGGACTCACCTATGGCAGTTGTAGAGGTCACAGCAATAGCAGGTGTTGCTCCTCACCTTTAGCTGGCACTTGCCATTCAGGGAGTGACAGGTGACCTGCTAGCAGAGAGACCTTGTCAGGTCTCAGAGACCTATCGCCCATGTGCCTGCTCATTCCACAGTGGGCAGGGCTGAGCCTGACTGGTCAGCCAGGCAGTTCTCCCTCCTGAGCCCACCTTTCCTGACCTTCCCCGCCCTCCCCTTGTTCTGTGGGGTGCTGTGGGTGCTGCAGGATGCTGCGGAGTGCTGCAGGGTTGGGGTGTGGCGGGACCCTGACTTACAGGGGGAGTTAGAGGACCAGGCTCAGTCATGCCAGGGTGTCCAGATGGACAACAACTGATGGATAGGAGAGGGAGAGGGTTCAGAGGACTCTGCCTGCAGGCGGAGGCTCCTGCAGATAAGGACCCCTCCAGGCAGGGATTTCTCCAAGTGGAGATACCTCCAGTTTGGGGGAACCTTCTCCAAGTGGGACCCCTCTGGCCAGGACCCTTCCTGACAACACAGAGCACAGCTGTCAGCAGCCTGACTTAACCAAGCCAGCCGCTGTGGAGCCCCTAACCCAGGCAGAGGCCGTCCCCCAGGCCTACAAATGTTTGGAGGACATATTGATGTTTAAAAAGAAAAAAAAAGCAAGATCAGGGCCCAAACACAGGCCTTCCCCTTTCCCCCATGCTGTTCGATGTGGGGGCTGAGCCATGCTCCCCACATTTAGGAGGTAAGCAGGGCAGAGACCAACCGGACTTCAGAAAAAAGGCAGTGACCTTGGGGAAGAAGGAGCCTGAGAGGGAGGAGCCTGCACTGAGTGGTGGGCGGAGGACCCACAGGCTCTCCGAGGCCTCTCCCCCCCGAGGAGCTGGGTGTGGCTCTGAGAGCAGCCGAGACACACCCTCCCCTAGAGGTCCTCAGAGCCTCCCTGGGGACCCAGAGGGCTGGGGGGCTCAAGCAGCCCATTGGACACATGACCTTTCTTTCAAAGTTCTGTGTCTACTTTCTGGAAATCACCCAAACTGGCAATGGGGCCCCTCTGGAGCACTGGACGTGGTATGGGAAATAGTCCAGACGGGGTGGAGCCCCCAGGCCGGGGAGCCGGGAAGGTAGCCCAGTGTACCTCAGACCCAGAATGAGACACTGGGGCCGGGAGGTGTGACAGGAGAAACTGGAGGACGGCCACGACAGCAGCCACGGGCAGGCACTCAGGGCAAGCGCAAGGCGTGGCTCTGAGCCCAGCAACCAGCTCATGGGAAGGTCAGAGCCTCAGGGGGGGGGGGCTGGGGGTCCACCAGCCTAACCCTAACGTAGGGTGTCTCCTGCTGGGAGGTGCCACCCTCCTAGGAAGAGCCACAGCACAGGACACCAGTTTAGAGCAGGGTCAGCTACCAGGGGCCTGAAGGGAAGCCTGGTCCACCTTCAGTTCTGCAGGTGACACTGCACAGCCACCCTCATCTGTGTATGCGTCGCCCATGGCTGCTCTGACACTCGGGAGACAGAGGTGAGTGGCTGGGACCGAGAACACCTGGCCTGTAAATCGTAAAGTATTACTGACTCCTTACAGAGAAGGTTGCTGGCCCCTGGTTTGAATTGTGTGGGCAGCTTCTTCCCCGTTATCTCTGGGGAGATTTAAAATACATAGGTCCCCTAAAACCCTCTTCCTAGGATGGGACCCAGCATTAGGATCTTCTCAGGCCCCTGGGCTGATTCCTATGGGCAGTGGGGTTGAGGACCCCAGCTGCAGGGATGGAGGCAGGGCAGCCCCAAATATGGGCTTGTCGTCAGAACGTGAAAACCTGGGTCACGACAGGGACCTTGACTTGTCTGTGATCCCAGAAGCAGAGCAAAAGCTGACCTTGACCTGGACTGAACACACCAGGGTGAGTAGGAAGGAAGGAAAGGGCAGCCGGAGGGCCTTTGGAGTGGTGGGGGTACATGTGGGGGGCCCGGAGAGAGTGACCCTCTGCGCAGGACAGGTCCCCAAGGCTCCCCCTGGCCAGGAGAAAGGCCGAGAGTACCAGGACCGGCCTTGGGAGAAGAAACGTGCCTGCTGCCCTGGGGAGAAGCAACAGGGAGCCCCAGGCACACAGCAGAGCCCTGGCCCCAAACCCACCCAGTGCCACAGTGAGCAGGACGCCCCTTCTCCTCCCACGGTTCATGGCGCATCCCAACAACCAGGACGGACATGAACCATGGCGTTTGCTCCCCCATGCTCTCCTGTCTGCTCTGTCCTCCCCTCCTCTGACATGTGTACTCAGGTTGAGGAGCTGTGTTTAGTTAAACCTGCAAGTCTACATGGAGCTGAGGAAACAGCCAGACGAAAGAAGCTACCCGCCCACCTTCGACAGTCCGAGGGAGGATGGCCCACCGTGGTGCACTGTTACTCTTGGCACTTGACGCAGCTAGAAATAGAAATGAAGTCACCCTGCTGACGTCCTTGGCCTGGGGGCGGTCAGGGAGTTTCTTGGCCAATGTCAGTGCAGTATACTAGCTTTTTACTGAGGTGATTAAATCAATTTTAAAAAATGCTCATCAGATAAACCACAACAAACTGGACAAGTGAATTTCAGGACTGTCATGTGTCAAAGAAGACAAGTCAGTAGCTGTGATTCTAGAATAAATACAACCTGTTGAGGTGTCAAAGGTAACTCAGAACAAAGCGTGAACCACAAATGCCTCGCCACAGCACCGGGAAAGACATGACAGGAAGAGCTGTAAGAATCCAAACACTCAGATTATGACTAGGGACACAGACAACGGTGTGGGAGCCACAGATGAGCAGAGTGAAGCTGGAAACATCAACCCGCGCTCTCGCTTACCTCCGTCTGGTAGATATCGTGCAAGTACCCTGCCCCGCTGGAGTAAAACTGGCACCTTCCCATGGTGAGGGGTCTTGTTTCCTGGACACAAACACACGTGGAACGGTAAAGTTTCATCACTAAATCGGGAGTGGTCAGAGGCGATTTCCAACCTGTCTGCCAATCTCAGATCTCTCTGAAGGACAGATGCCCAAACCAACTACAGACTGCCAGTTGGAGAGCCCAAAGCAGGAAGTACTACAGCGCATTCCAGAGCAGCCCAGCTCCTGCATGCAGAAGGCAGATGAGTCAAGTGCCCCAGGGGAGCAGGCCCTTGGTGCTGCCGGCTGGACTGACCCTCTGTCTCTCATGGGCCAGCACGGGGAGGCTGAAGGGAGGTGGGTACATGACTTTTTGAGGTTCAGTCCTACAACTTTCAACACCCCTTGGCTCCCATCTCTTTCCCTGAAACCAAAATATATATTTCCACTGGGCAGAGAGCAAGATACACTTCAGATTAATTCGCTCATCCAGCCAATCACCCATCCATCCACCCAACCCTCTATCTAGTTAATCAATCATTTAATTATCTATGCATCCATCCCTCCCTCCATCCATCCATCTATTCGTCTATCTCTCCGCCTCCCTCCCTCCTTCCCTCTCCCCATCTAGTCATCCTTCATCCATCCATCCACCCGTCCTTTTATCCCTCCATCTATCCATTTCTGTATCAATCCATCCAATCATCCCAATCCATTCAAACGCCCCCCGGTGCATCCATCCACCCACCAACAACCCAAGTGTGCAGCTATGGCCCCGTGCAAATATTCATCCAAGAGTCCCTCCTCAACCTTCATGGAGCAGACACAGAGTCAAATTATGAGGGTATAGGGCTTGCCTGTAGGGGATTAGTGAAGGAGACAGACCAAAAAACTGACAATTAGAAAATGCTTATAATTTCTATGGCAGAGAACAGCCAGAGCTACACAGAAGCTATAAAATGCCATAAAACTATATAATCTGTACATTATAAATGAGTTAGAATCCCAATGACTATATTAGGTTTTATTACTTGATGTGTTAGTCGTTTTTCTCAAAGCAGTCCTACTTCTGACCTAAGAAAAGAGTATGAAAAACTATCAAGGGCAACCGATAAGGACAGTCATGCATGTGTTCCTCCAAGCAGCAGCGGTGACGGGCTGGTTTTGCCACTACATGCCAGGCCCATTCTGGATGCCACAGCAAGCAGGGGCGGGGGATGGAGCGAGTCTCTGTCCTCATTGAGTCAACCTTCCTGCAGCGAGACAGACAGCGGAGCAAGGGAAGTGTCTGTGGGACAGAGAAGATGGTGGAAAGTGGAACGAACGGGAGGCTGAGTGGCACTGGAGGACGGTGAGTCTGTGGATCGGGGTCAGTTCCGAGCGTTGGGAACCCTCTGCTGGCGGCCCCCCTGCCCGATTCCACTCTTCCCGTCACCTCCTGGGTGTCATCCCAACAAGGCTCTTTCATCAGCAGCTGGGGCTCAGTGTCTTCCCCACTGAGTCAGGCCAGCACCAGCACAACCCACGAGACTGCATCGATCAATGAGCAGGTGACAAGCTTCCAGCTCTGAGGGACTGACCCTGTGAACAATCGCTCTTCTTCATGCCTATGATCATGTGGAAATGTTCCTCCAGACCGAACACTGGTGCCTCGCTGAAAGTGTCCAGATTCACGAGTCACTCAGAGGTCACCTTCACACCTTCTGCCCAGGTGTGAGAGAGCACATTTTACCTTTAGCTTTGTTTCAGTCGGCTCAGCTTGCGATGACAAATACCACAGACCGGATGGCTTACACTACAGACTTTAATCTTTCCAGTTCCGGAGGCTGGAAGTCAGGGTGCCAGCATGGGTAGGTCCTGGGAGGACCTTCTCCCGTCACGTAAGTGGCTGCCTTCTTGCCGTGTCCTCACATGGTGAAGAGAGAGATGTGGTCTCTTTTCATAAAGGCGCCGATCTCATCGTGGGCCCATGCTCACAATCTCACCTAATGCTAATCCCTTCCCCAAAGCCTGAACTCCAACACTATCACACCAGGCTTAGGGCTTCGATACACAGCTTTTGTGGAGGGAGGGAACACACATATTTAGTCCAGAACAGCTCCAGAACATAATCAACTCCCAGCTGAGTGTCACAGTAAATCAGTGATGAAAACTTGGTTTAAAACTTGGACATTTTAGTGAATTCTTTTCCTAAAACAGAAGCACCAGTGGTTCTGTCTAATCATTACTATTCAATCAGGATGAAATAATCCTTATTCGTTTGAGTTAAATAAAACTGTAACCTATTTGAGTCCCAGCCAAATCACACAAACTTAGTTTTCAAATTTATGGTGAAATTGAAAATTGTGTTTTGGGGGGAGAACCGTAACCCTCTCTGGGCCGGGAGAAAGCCCGGAGTCGGTGTCATGGATTAAGAAAGTGGACATCAGGTGCTCAGGAAGACCACTGAACACAGTTTTATTTCTTAACCATCACATATAAATTATTCTAAGACAACACATGAATCATCAGACTGTAAGTCGTTAACACTCAGCGAAAACCTTATGTGTCTCCCAAAGGGCTTGGCCAGTCACCTGATTTTGTAAATAAAGTTTTATTGCACACAGCCACCGTCATTTGTCCACATATTGTCTGTGGCTGCTATTGTGCTTGGACAGCAGGCCTGAGTAGCCGTGACAGACGCTACGTGGACACAGCCCTCATGTGTTAACTCCCTGGCCCTTTCCAGAGAAGCCAGCTGCCACTGGTCCAATGCATGCCTGGCAGAGACACAGGACCTCGGTAGGTGGCTGTGAGGTGAATAAAGGAGCGAGGAGCCGCCCAGGAGGCGAGAGGACACTGTGTCCCCGATGTTGGCGTTGTGCCCTTGGTCACTGAAAACGCCCTAAAGTAGCCACTAAAACACTCTGGGGAGGCCATGAAGTTGCTCTGCTAGAGACGAGTCCACCTGGAACTGAAACAGGAGGCCCAGCCAAGGATTACAGACTCCTGTACTTCCCATTTCTCCTGCAATGAACTGTGAACCCAGCGCCTGACTGGGTGGGAACAGGTAAGTGGGCTAATCATTTCTGACAGATCTTCTGCCAGCAATGACCTTCTGATTCCCAGGGTTCACATTCCACTTCACGAGGTATCCAGCCAATTTGGAACAAGGGAGCCTGGAATTGTATCTAGTGGCATTTATACTTGTCTGCAATGATGAGTTGCTTTGAGGAATCCTATCCATCCATGAAACAAGGTAGGGCCGAGGTGGCAGCAGGCCTCTGCAGTGCTGGAAGGAGGAGAGCCGCCTGCCTGGGAAACCGTTGGTTTTGAAGGCAATCTCCCCCAGATGTGAACTGGTGGGGGGTGAGGCCTGGGAAAAGCTGCCGCACGCAGCAACAGGGCCGGGACCCCCACCTGCGGCGGCTGGGGCCCCTGTGAGCTCCCCGCCCCCTGCACCGTCAGGAAGAACCGGCTCTCTCAGGAAGGCAAGGCTGGTTTTTCCTTCAAAACCAGGGTTTCCAAAACCACCTGCCAGACCCAAGCCTTCAGTCTGGTTGGGAAAGTAAACACATCAATGATGATCTCATTTTGAAAATGTTTATAAGAAATTTTATCAGCCCGTTGTTCTCCACTCCCGTTGAGAGAAAGGGATGGGTCTGTGTGGCATCGGCAAACTCATGGTCAGAGTTGTCACTGACAGTGTTGTTACTAACTGATCCTGAGTGGCCCCACCGGGGCTTCACGTGGCTGCCTTGTGCAGCCTCTCAGGGTCTGTGTGGTAAGAGGGAACCTCCTGAGCAGGGAAACCAGTCGGCTGGGGGTCAGGTGGCGTCACTCATATGCCCCTGTCTGCAGGTCTCCAGGTCTACCCACTAACTGCACACCCACACACGTCTGTCTCCGAGGCACTGTGCCCACAACAGCATTCTGAGGACAGACATGGGATTTCCTCCTTAGAAGACCTTGGGGTTACCAACCTCCAGCTGGCATGATGTGAGGGCCAGGGTGCTTGCTCTTGGAGGAAAAAGCCAACGCTCATCCGTTGTTGCATCCCCAGTCCCATATGGATTGGGTGAGGCCCTCGATCCATATTTGCTGATTGAGTGACATTTGAGAAAATGCAGGTATGACGGTCCAACACCAAAGCAACATGTCCTCATCAGTAATTTAGGCACAAGGTGGGAAATCAGGTTTGGATCAAAGGATATACTTTCTGGTCCTGGTTGGGGTGGCTCAGTGGGTTGAGCTCCAGCCTGCAAACCAAAGGGTCATTGGTTCGATTCTCAATATGGCACATGCCTGGATTGTGGGCAAGGTCTCCAGTGGGGGGTGCACAAGAGGCAGCCACACATCGATGTTTCTCTCTCTCTTTCTCCCTCCCTTACCCTCTGTCTAAAAATAAATAAAATATTTTTTAAAAAAGAATATGCTTTTTGTTGTAACCAAGCAGAGTGCCAGAAGTATGACAATAAATATTGGCCAGAGACTTATAGTTCAATTATCTTTCCAAAAATGAGAAACAAGAAACAGTAGCCTGGGACAAAGGATACGCACTTTCCTAAAAAGTGCTGTAAATGTACATATGTGTTCGGTAAACAATGAATAACCTAGAAGGACAATCATGGCACAAGTTCTGGCCTTGGCTGGGCGTGTAAGGCCTCCGCCTCTTCCAGGGGGTCCTCTCAACCCCAGCCTGGGGCCTCTCCATGGCCCCTGCACAGACCCAGCTGACTCCACAGCAGCAGGCCCGCCCTGGAAGGTTCTGCTGTGTTTTTCTCTGTCTTACTCATACAGCTGGCAGCACAGTGGGCTGATTACACCGGCATCAGCACAAACATGTGAGTAACTCATTGCACTGTGGTTATGGCGTCACCAGGTGATAAGAAGTTTCCAGCTCCTTCATGAGGCCATCATCACGTATTCAAATCCGCCATAGACCAAAACATCACTGGGTGGCATGAGACTGTGACTGTTCATAGAATCTTCCATCTCAGGCACCTGCCCCATTAGAGGGACCTAAAGGGTTTCTCAGGCTACAGTGTCAAGGTAGAAAATTCTGTCATAATCTTCTAAGAGAGATTTGAATGATAAAATCTGGTACATCATGAGTCAGGATGTATTTCATCTTGTTAAATTTAAAGAAAGACCTGAGGAAAGTTACTTGGAAAACTGAAGAATTTGATTTTATCTGATGTGATGATGATGATGATGATGTGTGTGTGTGTGCAAGAGGTGAAGAAAAGCGAGAGAAGGGAAGACATCAATTGACAGACACAGATGAAAACAGAAACGGTGAAGGTCTCTGCACTCTGGGACACTGTTTTTGTATGTTGATCTCCTAAACTCAGGAGAGCGATTGAGCACGGAATTAAAAAGATGGAACTCACTATGTGCCGAGCAGCAAACACACCATCCACGATGGCACAGCAGAAGGCGGCCACCACGCCGAAGCTGATGAACACAATGGCTGCCACCAACTGGAAGCAGAAAGCAAAAGGAGCGTGTGGGTGTCCAAGGTTAAACGAAAGCCTTTTTTCACATACACACCAGTTCAAGTCCCAGGCTGACATTAGCTGGGCCTTCACAGAATCCTCACTTCTTCACCCCTACCTTCTGTCTTCAATGACTTTGAGCCCAAAACAGACCCTGGGACCGATTTCACCCCCTGCAAGACTCATGCTTGATGATCTTATTTCACACAGTAAATAGGCTGCTCTGTGGCTGGGGGAGAACTTTCACTCCCCTGCCTCTCCCCACGATCCTCACGAATAATCAGGGATGATTTAACCAGTGTCTACAACGGGCATTGAAATGGTTCACGATTTCTTGCTATTACACACTCTGCTACAGAGACCCTGAATTTTCTCTCTATATAAAGTCTGGGCTTATGTATGAGTAGGGTCAATTCCTGGAACATTCAAGAACCCTTATTTTTGGAGAGCATACGTTCAGGGTCTCTGCAGTTCAGAATCTGAGCAAGAGGCCACGCTGTCCCATAAAGGGGCTTTGCCAGCCCGACTCCCTCCCTCCAACAGCCCGACACCATCCCCTCCCATCCCAAACAACACTTCATATTATTAATCTTTTGTTTTATCAGTCCGATGGGGGAAAAGAGGTTCATTGTTATTTCCATTTGCATTTCTCTGTTATTAGTGAGGTTGAGGATCGATCTTATCTTAAAGTTGTCGGCCATTTCTTGAATTTTTTTCTTGTGAAATCGTTTCATGCTTACCAAAACAAATAGCAAAAATAGTGTAAAGAATTCCCATACGTCCTTCCCTCAATTCCAACACTTTGAAAAACCACATCAGTGACCTTCCTCATCATAACTTCTCTCTCCAGCAGCAAGAACCCCGCTATCATGATCCACAGTGTACATACTAACCCAGACTGTATGAAAAGCAAGCCACTAATTAGGGTGTAGTATTTGCATTCTTTGTGTCCTCAGGCTCCGTCAAAACCTGTTTTCTACATGGCTTAGGTTGGTTCTTTTCTGTGGTTGGGTTACTCATTAACGATGCAGTCAGGCTCACTGGTCGCTGTGCTCCATATGGCCCCCTCCCTCTCCATCCTTGGTAATATTCACTGTTTACTTGTTCAACAAAACGTAGGGAGTAGGTAAGAAACGTTGCCTAGTATGACGCCTCAGAAGTCTGAGTTCGGTTTTGGTGTGAAACTCGCTGGGGCTGCTCCAGGGGCAGATGAAGAGCCCCGAGGCCCCGTCCCCAGCTGCCGTTCCAAGGTCAGATGCAGCGGGATGGCTCTCAGGCCAGCCGCGGATGCAGCCCCTCCCCTTGCACCCCCACTCCAGCCCCCACATGTGGCTTCGAATGCAAACCGCTGCCCCGCATTGCAAATCAGAGCTGTTGCCTGGGTCCTTCGGGGGATCTCTGAACTGGTTCCCTTTTTGACCCTGTTTCCACACCTGGAAAAAAAGGTGCTGGTTATGACTTATCAAGGAATTGAATAAATGCCTCTGGATACCTGAGCCAGTCTAGGTGCTCTGGGTGCAGAGGTGACAAAACCGACAGATGTCCTTGGCCTTTCCTCACAGAAGATGACATTTTATGATGAATTCACTAAGAGAGAACTTGGGGACTACCTGAGGGGATCTGTGCCTGTATAAGCCTTGGTCTGTACAACAAAAAAGGATTTCCTGTTGGATTTTCTACAGTGTGGTGGCCCTGTTAGCACCAGCAATTGATTGACTCTGTACGGATTCGGTAGCTGTTCCGGATGTTGGAGAGAAGCAGAGTGGGGTGGGGTTCCCACCATAAAGAACTGGTGGCCCAAGGTGACAACCACGGAAAAAGGTGTAAACCAAGAGCTCCGGATGTGCATGAAGAGGGAGGACCCGCCGTACCCTGAGGATGAGGCAAGGTCTTGAGCTATCCCTGGAGAAATAAGCTGAATTTCCTCCAGAAGTTGTGCGGGCCAGGAGCTGTGCTTCCTACCATTAAGGAACCGGTAGGAAGCACACTGGTAGGAACATCTGAAGTTCAGCCATGCTGGGGAAATACGGCCAAAGGCAAAAATGCTTCCTTTACCTCAGTGAGAAAAGGAAAATCCATATGGCTTCTTCCCCTATGAAATTATTGCATATAAATAAAGTGATTAAGATGTAAAGAGTTTTGTAAAGGAATCATACCTAACCGTACTTTTCTACATTTGTATTGCTATTATAAAAAAACATATAAAAAAGATTCAGGAGCAGGGGGTGGGGGAAAGCCTGCATCTAATGTGGCCGCTGTGTCCTCCCAGCCTGCCTCCTCTTTGACCTTCCTGCCATTCCCAGATGGATGTTCTTTGTCCTCACTCGGTGACACCTGTCAAAGATGAAATACTAAACCCCAGGGTTCATGCTTTTCTTTCATACTGGCCTTGAATCCCAAGGCCACATGGCCCTTGAGATTGGCTGGGAGAGAAGGGTGTTATGCCCCCATTATTCCTCCCAGGGATGCTTCTGTGATTAATTGGAAGGCCCCTCAACCCAGTGTTGCTACATAGGAGGGACAGGGCACTCTGTTCCACAAGGGTACCCCCGATTCTTGTTGCACAGAATTAGCAGCCTAAAAGGGCAGATGAGGAGAGACTCAAAGATGAATAAAATCACTCTGGAGTTTCCCAGTTCCTTTAGCACGGGGTGCACCTGCCAAACTTCAGAGGTAGCACTACACGGACCCACGGACACCCAGTTAGTTCTCCCACACGAGTGGGCCACCAGAGCTGTGCCGGAAGCTGCTGCCCGGTGAGTTTATGTCATGATGGACCAACTTGACGACTCCTCAGAGAACGCCACACTCCGCGTCCTGCCCAGGCAGCCAGCTCTGGCTCAGCCCTGCCTGGTCAGAGCCAGCACAGCCAAGAGACCCTCACATTATGCCTGCACCCGATTTCATCCAGAATCTCATTGAAAACATAAAATCTCCAAAGTATCCTTTAACAGTGCAGGACTTCCCTCCACTGTCTAGATTTATAAACATGTCTGATTTGGTCTTGTACAAACTGACCCCACCATTTCAATGTCCCCATCAACTTGCAGCTGGCTCTGCCCCATTGCCCTTCCTCCTATCACCCCTGCAAAAGTGAAATTTCTCATGAGCAAGGCCACTTGCAGGGTGAATTCATGATTATACTTGTGATGAATTCAGTGCTAACAAGATCACACACATAATATTACCCAAGAACTTCTTAGCTGCATAAACGCCAGGGTCTAGGCAATAGTGTTGGGAACCATGTTGGAAATTCTCTCCTCCAGCTCTCCAGGCTGGAAATGGAAAACTTGCCAGAATCAGCAACAGGAGGGCTGCCCCTTAGCAAGGACCCGAGCTGGGTTTTGTGCCACAGCCACTCCTCTCCTTCCCAGGTGTTACTAACTCTCCTTCAAGCTACGGGTGAGCTTGACAATACAAAGCCAGAACAATACACACAGCAGGAACCCAATTGGTTCTCCAAAGATGCAAACCAAATCACTTTCCGTAGGATGTGAGGACTGCCAGAACGCGTAGCTTTTGCAAACAGAAGCTGCCTATTACTCTAGCAACTCCAAAAGGCTCTCTAATGAGGTTGAAAATATATTTTATTGTACTATGTGGGGGTCTTCTCTCTTGGGAGAAGGACAACCAGGTTATTCAGTAGGAGGTCACCTTCAAATCTCTGCTGGGCTCACAGATTTGCATTTCAACAGGGAAGGTAGATTAAAAAAACAAACACCAAATAGATAGATAAGGTTGTGGTGATAAGAGAAGATTGAAAGAAAACAGGGTGAGAACCTGTGACTGGGAAGGCTGTCACTTGGGGTGGTCCGGACTCTGTGCATCCTCATTCCCATGATCCCCTTCTTCTCTTTTCTGAACCAACCTCCTGAAACCTTCTGCTGTGCCCTCCGGGGTGGTCGCTGGTGAAACCCCATAAACCCTCAGCCCCTCTGTAACATCTCCCACAGCTGTGACTGGGACCCTTTGGCTCCACTCTGGGTCCCCAGGCCAGGGGACAGGCCTGGCTCTGCCTGGGCGCGTATCACTGCCCAGACCTTTCTCTCCTCTTCCCCCAGACCCCAGACTTTTCAGTCCATGTCCCTGACTCAGTCTCCTGGAGGCTGAGTCATTCACCAACCTCCAGATCATTCCCTCTTTCCTGGCTCATGGTCACCCTCACCAGTGTGACTGTAGCCATAATTCTTGGTGACTCTGAGGCCCAGAATGACCTTTCCACTGCCCTGGCTCTCAGTCCCCAGCCCAAATCACCATCTTCCTCAGCATGCAGCCCCTCAGCGCGGGCCACACGGCCTGCGTCATGTTACTGCCCACGCAGCACCGCCACGTAGGCACTGGCCCTCCTCCCGCTCCGGCCCTTTGCCCTGGTCCCACCACCTGGTTACCGTATTTCAGCTGTGTGTGCAGTCCCAGCCTACAGACCCTGGTCAGTCATTATCCCTGTGAATACCCACAACCCCTTGCTCTTCTCTCAAGTTCTTAAATTCATTTGCCAAAACCCAAACTGAATTAAACCCAGCTCCCCAATTTCTCGAAATCTGAATAGGTGAGCATGGAAACTTGTCCTCCCTCAATTAAGGACCACACCCACCCCTACCTGCTCCTCCCACCAGGCCCTCACACCCTTCCTCCCAACAGCAGGTGACGACATGCTCAGCTCCCTGGGAGGGCAAAGGCCATCAGAAGAGAGTTTGTACAAGATGTGACCACACCGTCCAGCCCTGTGCGGGCCCCCACACTCTGTCCCCCGTTAGCAGGGACAAAGGCCTGCATGCCTGCCGGACCAGCAGCTCCGCACCTCTTACCCCCCACAAGCACCGCACCCCCTGTGCTGCCCTCTCTCCCACAGCGTCCTGTCTTCACCCTCTGCTAGACTTTCCTTCCCCACAGACATGCCAGAACCCCTCCTTTCTTAAACCACAAAACCGTTTTCTCAATGTCCACTTCCCCTGGAGCTCCTCTTCCTTCACCTTTCTTCTCCC